GGCGTTATTACAATCAGCTAGAATTCCTTGATCTTGATAGAGCACTGCAGGCCCAGTCACCGAGAGTGGGATTAACAGAAATTCTCCAATAAAAGTTGCTTGCCTTCCAGTTACTATGGTTCTTTGAGATGTTATGGCTGGGTGGATTCTATGACTCTTCCTCCATCCCCACTTCTGCAGTCTCCTCCAGTTGAGATACTGAATTAGCAAGGAAACTGAGAGATAGACTTTATGCTTGTGGTAGGAGGAGACCAAGGATGCTCAGGAACAGCCCCAATGGACCCTGCTGTTCAAAGATTCTAATCTCAATATATGAACAAGAGTGGGATCCACACAAAGCATCATGAACCGCAGTTACTGTAAGGTAAGTAACCATTCTTTTTCTGATTTGCCCTTGATTCATGCTTACCAATTGTTCCTCATTATTATGTAAATACATGGAAATTAAATAAGTATATATGAAATCAGTGAAAACCGTGATCTCTAATTGACTAAATCTCATCCTAATGAGTCTGAGGTCACATGTAAGCTATGGTAATGGACTGTTAAGATTGCAAATTTAATGCTGATAATTTAATTGCAATTTTAACTTGGCAACATTTAGCAACCTAATAAGCAAAAATACAACATATAGTATGTGTAATGGGAGCAAGTTAACACCACATTTCTTAAATGTTTAAATTTTCAAAATTAGGTCTTAATCCTGAAAGTCACATGTGTAATTTTACTTGCATAACTAATTTCACTAAAGTCACCCATGTTTGCAGGAACTGGTCCCAAATCTTGCACTAATATATTTGCATTTTATTTCCTTTTATTTTTTAAATTAAAAAAAAAAGTACTTCATTCCCCTGCTACCCAGTCATTGCACTACTTTCCTCTTCCCTTTCTTCTCATCCCCTTCCCTATTCAGAGGTGATGGGAGTCTGAAAATTGACCCTAGATGGGAAGATGTTGGGTGATGATTCAATGTAAGTCTCGACCATACTTTTCAGGATCAGAGCACTGCCACAACCTCCTTCCCTTGCTCCCTGACCAGCTGTTTAAGTCCGAAAGCACAAGGTCCCCTCCTTAGTCAGTAGTAGAGAGTAAAGAAAGAGCCTTTGCATGGATGCGGTGAAGCCTGAATCCTGATCAGTAATAGCCTTAGGTACAAATGAAGCCTCAATACCTATTCCTAGGGTTCTACATATTTGACTCCACCCTCTAGTGATGTTATCACATCACTCCTGGGTTGACGGACCTATTTTGAGACTTTTGAAATTTGCTGCTTTAGAATGCTCACGTGATTAAAAAAGTTCTCCTTTAAACCTTTACAAAATTTGCATGGTTACAGGTCCCCAATTAAGAACCAGCCCTACTACCCAAGTATGACTTTGATGGTTCAGCAGAGTTATGGGTGGAAAAAGTCTTGCCAAGAAAACTCAATGCAAAAAGTGTACTAATACCCATACGTATAATTGCTCTCCCCATTCATTATTAACCCAAATAATTGAACTGAAAAATTTTCTGAAAGAACAAAAACAAAACTACTTTACTAGTTTCAACCTGAAAGGACAGCAAAGGGTTCTTAAAAAATTTAAGAAGAAAGAAAAAAAAAAAAGAAAATTCCGCATCTGGCTGGCTTTAAGCAGTCCTATGACCTGATTTCCCCCCTCTGCCTCCCAAGCATCCAGCCTATAGGTGTTCCTTAAATACCTGTGCAAAAGGATTTACTAAAGTTGGCTCCTTGTTTACTGGTGAACAGGTAGTGCTCCTGCCTCCTAAGACATTACCCTATGGAGACACTTTAAAATACAGTTGTTTTGGGATGTGAGTATCTCATTTGCTCTTTAATTCTTGCAGAAAGCAAATTCTAGCTGTGTTCCTCTTTGCGTGATAGTGTAAGGGCTGAAACCTAGCAGAACTATTTATTTTGTTGAATGTTTGTGGAGGGCAGCACAGAGAGGCATGCATCACTGTCTGCAGCAATGAGAAATGGGAAGAAGTGGAGGAGAAGCAGCTTGCTGAGGTGTACATGGTCACTGTGTTCACTGTCTCTGTGTAACTGGACAAAAACAGTATAAGAAAAACATACTGGACTTCTGAGACAGTATGGGCTAATAAATACTCAGCATCTCCTCACTGCCAGCTCGGTTACATTCACAAAATCTGTTTACTTGATTTTGTGTGGCTGACAAAGATTTCACTTATTCACAAGTGGAACTAGTGAACACTTGCAAACTTTAAGGAAAGTTTCTAAATCATACTTAATATTCTAGGACTGACTCTTCTGTGTGAGCCTGAAGAAATCACACTGTTGCCTCGCAGATGACAAATGATTAGTAATCCCAGAGATTTATAGGTACACAAACACGATTCTTAATGCATTTTAACTAAGGAGGCAGTATAGACCCATGACTAAGACACTGAAGTAAAGTTAAGAACTGACTTATGTTCCTAACTCTGCTATTGGTTTGCTATGTGATGATGGACACGTGACTTCACTCTGTCCCTCAATATTCCCTTTTGTAATATGAGGATGATACTTCTTATTTTCATAAAGCACTTTGACAACTATGGCTAAAAAGCCCAATATAAAGGGCTAAATCATTTAATACATTATAATAAAACTAAGAGGACAAAAAAACCCCTTCCCACTGTGCAAGAGCAGTAGAGTTAGGGAAGGAGTAGGAAGACAGTGGGAAATAAATGCTTCTCCTGGGACTCTGAGTAGCAGATCACACCATTTGTTTTGCACGTATCTAGTTAGACATGTAGTTTTTCTTAATAAAACACACACTTTACTAACAGCGATAGTGACATGTAATCTTTTAGCAGCAGCTCCTACAGCAATTCAATCCCACACAGGGATTTTTGCCAAACCTGAAAAAGGTCAACATACCAAATTGTGACACTTCACCTGCCGTTGAGATCAATAAAAGCTTTGGATTTTATGACAGACGGACATGCTGGAGAAATATTTAAAGCCACCTTCATCTTCAGTCACCCAGATGTTGATATTAGCAGGATTTTTCATGAATGACTTGACTTTATCACGAGATTTGAAAACATGGCTCTTATATTGCACGTGAGGGTCCTGAGTGCACTTATTAGTCTCTTACCCAAGTGTGCCCCCAAGGCAATAAAAAAGATTAAAAATAGCACCTGCTTCTTAGCCAGTCCAGGAGTAAGCAGAAGAGTCCTCTTGAAGCAGATCTTTTGCATGACAGTAATCCAACTGTTCCTGTACACATCCTAGATGAAAACTTGCTTAGGAGTTCATGTCTTTTTTGGTTTGTTTCCCCATAACATCCTAGCTGAAGTTTACATTTGATTTATCTGCACCTAAACAATGATTTGTACCATCATATCTCTTAATTTCATGGTAACTTAGTAAGTACAGATGTGCATTCAATTAATATTAGAAAGTCTATGTCTTACTTTGCAGCTAACAGTAGTTATTAATGTGAACTAGACCTTAAAGTTTAGCCACTATGACCTAAAAATTAATTTTCAGACTATTATTTTGCCTTAGAGACAACAGCACAAACTGTGCATTCACCAGCTAATCTCCCCCCTAAAAAATATTTTTTCAAGTGACCCTCATCCCCTTTTCCCTCAAGTACTTACTTTGCAAATAAGGTTTTGAGAAGCTGGAATACACTATTTGTATATTTCCTCACTCCCCTGATTAATCAGCTTCTTCAGTTCAGTCACCATATGCACACACCACTTTAATAAGATATAGCATATACAGTTTCTAAATGCCACAGGTCTAAATCCCTGCTGCATTAGAAAGTGAGTAATGAAAACTCTATGTCAGCATTCTGCCATCAGGGATCTTCTATTTCCAGGGCTTGGGACAGCATGTTATGCAGTCGGGCTTGAAATGTCATCTAGGCTGGTCACTGACCACTTGCTGGAAAGGATCTTTTTATGCATGAGGTACAAGGGGAGTAGTTCTTGCCCCAAATCAGACCTAGTTTAAAACTGTTCTAAACTGCTGACTTTCTTCTCAATCTCTGGCTCAAGAAAATGTCAAATTTGGAAATAAAACCATTCACCCCAGCGAAGCTAGAGGACAAGGCAGCCAAGTGTGCACTAAAGGGACTCCCCACACACGGGGATCTCTCGAGCCAAGAATCTAAATGGCTCCTAACGGGAACAAAATGTAAAAAAGGGGGAAAGTATCCCAGGACACAGCAGCTGAAGCGGAGACCATGGAGCCAGCAGCAGGCCGACAGCCGGTACAGGCTTGTTGGGCTCGCCGCGCGTGGCCCGCGGCTGCTGGCGGGTGAACGACTAAGAAAGGGAAGCGGATCGATTTTCTCGACTCCTCCCGCAGCCCCGTTTCCACCGGGCCGCCCCGCCCGCCCGCCTGACCCCCGCGCACGCCACAGCGATATCCGCCACCGCGGCGGCCTCGCTCCCGCTGCTTCGCGCCATAGCAAAGAATTTGTCCCCTGCGCCGGGCCTGTTGCCCGGGCGCCGCCACGCTTCTCGCTACGGCGAGGGGAGCAGGCCGCTTCTCCCGCGCTAATCCGGTTCCCCGCCGCCGGGCTGAGCCGGCACCCTCCCGCCCCCCGCAGCCATCTTGAGGGCAGCCCTGGCCTTGCCCCGTCTCCCGCGGTGGGGCCGGGGCGTTCGCAGCGGCGTCGCGCAGCCAACCCGACCGCGGGGCGGCAGGGCCCATCCAGCCCTTGGGGTACACAGGGGCCGGGGCCGTTCGGCTCGACCCTCATTATCGGAGCTTTGCCATCCGCCTCCAGCGAAGCTAGGTCCTAGCGCCCCGCCCCCCATCACCATGGCGCCGGCCGGCGCCCCGAGCTGCACGCACGGCACGAACGCGACGCACGCTAGTGCAATCACGTGGTGGTGGGATCACATGACAAAGAGCGGAAGCGGCGCTGCGGCTCCCTGCTCCCCTCCCCAGCCTGTGGGTTCGAGGGTCTCCGCGCTGGGTGCGCCGCGCCCCTCGCCCGCTGGCGGCGATGGGGTGGGGGGGGGTGGGCGCGGGCGCGTGCGGCGGGAGAGAGGCTGAGGCAGCGCGCGCGGGGGCTCGAGGCGCTGCGGGAGGCCTGCCGCCAGTACCCGCTGTTCTGCTGCATCCTGCTGGGGCTCAGCGCGGCCACCCTCCTGCTGAACCGGTAACCGCCACCGCCTGGGCCCGCGTCCTTCCCGCTTCTTCCCTGCTCCCTCCCCAGCAGCCGGCGGCTGCGGCGGCGACCTAAGGGCGGCCGTTGCTGGGCACGACGCGGAAGGGTCTGGGAGGGAGGCCGGGGCCCGGGGTGGGGGAGCAGGGCAGACGCTCCCCTACTTGTTGGCCGGGGCCCGTGGGGGCTGTTCGCCTGCAGCGGGGTCGTTGGGCCGGGAGGGGCGCTGGGGGTAGCTCTCCTGCACCGGCTGGGGAGGGCGGGATGGGAACTGGCTTCCCCTGTCCCACGGGCTGCGCGGACGGGAGCTCGCCCGGGGACAGCGGTAGGCGCCCCACTGGCGCAGCTGCGTGGCGCTGTCATCCCGGTTGCTGGGGGCGGGGAGAGGCCGGGACGACTCAGCCCTCCCCCAGGCACGGGCTTAGCTCCGTCTGCTGCCCCGGTGCGGCCCGGTGCGCGCGGTCAGGAGCAGCTGCCCTGACACAGCCCAGGCACTTTGGGAAGCAGGGAAAATGAGGGCTTAGTTCAGATGGTGTCCAGTTTATCCCCTTAACTTTAGAGGAGAGGCGGCAAACAGCGTCCTCTCCTCTTAATCCTCTTCCCTCCCAGAGGCAACGTATTAGCGGCTAGCAATTCAAGGGAAAGTTGGGGCGAGGGGCCAAACTGTGTGGGAGAAAGGGAGCCAGAAAGTGACACCCTCTATCTTTACCCTCCCATGACCCCACGCTTGCTTCACATCCCCCTTCATACTCTTGTCAGCCAGCCTTCTTCTTTACCTATGCTGTGAATAAATAACTTTGGGGGTCAATATCAGTGTGTTGTTATTAGTGCCCCCGGCATGTGATTGCGTAGTCTCACTCAGTTTTTTTGGTCACACTCCTTTCTGACTTCAGTCTCCAGAGTTTCCCTGCTCTATGTGCATTGCAATCCAGAATAGCAACATACCCATCCCCAAATTATTAAACATAAATTGTACATGGTATGAGCAACCGTTCATTGTAAAGAAATGAGTACAGGCTTAATAAAGTCTTGGTGCTGATTCTGTGCTGTACAGGGCACACATGCATACTTTTTGCCCTGAGGCATTTTCAGTGTGAGATTTAACGCTGATAAAACTACATTTACTGGGAGACTATGGCCGTGTCTACACTGCCACTTTACAGCACTGCAACTTTCTTGCTGAGGGGAGTGAAAAAATACCCCCTGAGTGCTGAAAAGTGGCAGTTAGACAGTGGGGTTTTTTTAAACTCTCCCAGCACTGGTGCCGCGACTACACAGCCACGTTAAAGTGCTGCCGCAGCAGTGCTTTAATGTTGCTAGTGAAGACATGCCCTAAGAGGAGAGTGCTAGTTTAGGTTTCTTAAAATTTAACAAAAAGTTCCTGGACAGAAAGACATTTATCAGCTACATCCAACACAGCTCTGCAAGAGGTCATTATGATACTGACTAAAACCTTATTTCATCATCCATTACTAAACTCAATACTTGTTAAAAAAAACCCCACAAATGTAAACAATTCCCACAGAGCATGAAGGTAGAGAGTGCTGTGTCCCTATACAAAATTAGTATTCAGGCTCACCACCTATTGTAGTAGGGTTAAAAAGTCATATTTTAATGCTTAAAAGATACTATTAAGTAAATGTAAAATATATTTAATTTATTGGATTGTCAGTCAATATCAGAACAAGAAGAGATGAAATGTCTAGTCTGAACATAGACCTGCAGGCCAGTGGTGTTGTGGGGATTAGTTATATTTGTAATATGCTTTGAAGTAAACTACTGTATTAGTATTGCTGTTTTATTAGTCCTGTCTGTAGATGAGTTCAGCTTAGATTTACGTAACTGGCAGCTCCAATTATTATCACACTCTTTTCATGAACACACAGAGCAGTGGTTCTCAAACTTTTTGTATTGGTGACCCCTTTCACGCAGCAAGCCTCTGAGTGCAACATCCCTCTTCTCTCAGTGGCTGACTGCGACCCCACCAGAGACTGACAGCCACAGCCCTGCCAACCAGGGGCTGACAGCTCACAACCCCCATGTAACCACTTCTTGACCTGACCTGTTGCGACTCCCAGTTTGAGAACTCCTGAGATAGAGCTAGGTGTAGTATTTCAGTTAATTTCTGGTAGAGTAGTCACTAAAAGAAATACTTGTGTTCATATGTCATTCTGAAAAATTCTGCTGTAAACATACCATATGGTATTGTCTACCTTGTCATACAGTTTTTTTTTCCTGTTTGTTTACAAGGTATCTTCACATTTTAATGATCTTCTGGTCATTTGTTGCTGGCGTTGTCACATTCTACTGCTCATTAGGACCAGATTCTCTCTTGCCAAATATTCTTTTTACAATAAAATATAAACCCAAGGTAAATTTAATTTTTCTTTGTAGCGTTTGTTTAATTTTTCTCCATTTATTTTGTAGCAATATGTACAACCAGTAATTTTAGAAAATGTTATGCTCTGTTAATGTAACAGTGGTGAATGTAGTTGATATTAACTTGTAACTCTCTGTGGTGAACAGTCTTCAAATACAAATGAAGGCTCTAATTTGACAAATATTTGGGTTGAACCCAGTGGGACTATTTACATGTGTAAAATTAAGTAAATGTGTTTGCAGGATTAGGGCCTTATTACTTAAAGGCTTGAAATATGCAGTCGTCAGTGTGGGCAATTCAGCTGCAGCTTGTATAATGCTTTTAGAGTGTCTGTAATAGTTGCATTTTTTTTTTTTTTAAATCCTAAATCTGCATGATACTTGTAAAAGAGATGCATTTCCTTTGACAAAATGAATTCAGAATATATCTTACTGGCCACACTCCGCCTGCTTTACATGAATTTGAAAGTTTCAAAGAAAGAAACGTCAATTCTAAATCACCTTTCTGCTGAATTTAGAACAATGTTTTATGTTGATTAGTTTTAATCTGTAAGTTAGTTTCTTAAATTCAGGTGCTTCCATTTGGTACTTTACTAACTTAATTATCTTTCAGAGTAACAGCCGTGTTAGTCTGTATTCGCAAAAAGAAAAGGAGTACTTGTGACACCTTAGAGACTAACCAATTTATTTGAGCATAAGCTTTCATGAGCTACAGCTCACTTGCATCCGAAGAAGCTTATGCTCAAATAAATTGGTTAGTCTCTAAGGTGCCACAAGTACTCCTTTTCTTTTTAATTATCTTTGTATTCACCCCCCCACACACCCCAAAAAAATCAAGCCATCTATGATATTTTGTGCAATTTAATTTTATTTTAATCACATACACTAAAAGCAAATTGGCTAATGCAGAAATGCATTGAGAGAGAGGATTTTGAAAAACTGAGATTTGTTAAATACTTTCTCTTTCTTAGCAATTAGAACTGCAGGAGCTATTTCCCCAAGGTCACAGCTGTGCTGTATGTGGTAATGTCAAATGCAAAAGGCATAGGTAAGTTAAATATTTGGCATTTCTTATCATAACAGTTGTTACATCTTGTACTTCGGGGTGAGAGAACCTTCTATTAAATATTGTATTATTTCTCTTGGTTTCTTACAGACCTGCATTGCTTCTAGAAAACTACCAGCCATGGTTGGATCTACAAGTGTCTTCCAAGGTTGATGCCTCTCTCTCAGAGGTAACTGTTATTTAATCTAAGGTGCCACAAGTACTCCTTTTCTTTTTGTTATTTAATTGTCAGTTAATGTTAATTATTTGACATGATTTCAGTGCATTGAAATCCAAAACAACTAAGGTTTTATCATTCAGATCCCTCCTTAAGACTCATCATTACTTTTGGACATCAGAAGTGAGTCCATCACAATTCTTGTATGTATTAAAAAATATGAAATCAAGGAGGAATAGAGAGATTATACTACCTCTGTATTTTGCACTGGTGCAACTGCTTCTGGAATATTGTGTCCCATTTTGGTGTCCACAATTCAAATAGGATGTTGAAAAATTGGAGAGTTCAGAGAAAAGCCATGAGACTGATTAAAGGACTGGAAAGCATGCATCATAATGAGACCCTCAAGGAGCTCAATCTGCTTATCTTGTCAGACAGAGTGTGTGATCTTTCCCGGGTGTTATCTGGACCGGTGATCTGCTAGGTCACTCCAATCCTCGACTCGGGGAGCCAGCATTACCCTGCTCTGCTGTAAGAACCCCCACTCCCGGGCTGTTCATGCACAGCCTTTATAGCAGAGGTAGGCAAACTATGGCCCATGGGCCACATCTGGCCCACGGGACCCTCCTGCCCGGCTCCTGGGCCAGGAGGCTTGCCCCCAGCCCCTCCCCTACTGTTCCACCTCCCCTGCAGCTCTGGGCAGCCGGGCAGCGCAGTTGCAGAGCCGCGGCCTGACCCTGTGCTCTGGGTGGCGTAGCTGTAGCTCTGCCAGCCAGCAGTGCTCCAGACAGCGTGATAAGGGGGCAGGGGACTGGGGGGGTTGGATAGAGGGCAGGGGTTCTGGGGGGGGGCCAGTCAGGAAGGGGGGGGTTGGATGGGGCGGCAGAGGGCAGTTGGGGTGCAGAGTCCGGGGGTGGTCAGGGGACAGGGAGCTGGGGAGTTGGATGCAGCAGAAGTCCCAGGGGAGCTGTTAGGGGGTGAGAAGCAGGGGGGTCGGATAGGAGGTGGGGGCTGGGCCATGCCTGGCTGTTTGGGGAGACAAAACCTCACCTAATCGGCCCTCCATACAATTTTGGGAAAAAAAAAGTTTGCCCCGCCCCTGCTCTATATCATGTAAGCTGCTCGCAGCTATGTAAATGAGCACTTTTGGCCAGTCGCTGCTTGGATTGTGCAACTGAATGACACTAGGCAATATCTCCGGTCCCAGACGCAACCCTAGGAGCCTCCGTCTTGCAGTGTCCAGTTATGCCCACTGGACGCTGCAAGCTTATATGAGTTTGTCAGTTTAACAAATAAATTGATATGTATCAGCTTGTTATCCCAAGGGGAGTCTCAGACATGCTTCAAACCAAACGCACTGCTTCAGGTAGAATAAACAAATTTATTAACTGTAAAAGAGAGATTTTAAGCGATTATAAGTCAAAGCACAAGACATCAGATTTGGTCAAATGAAATAAAAGCAAAATGCATTCTAAGCTGATCTTAATACTTTCAGTGCCCTTACAAACTTAGGTTTCTCACCACAGGCTGGCTGGTTGCCCTTCAGCCAGGCTCTCCCCTTTTGATCAGCACTTCAGTCGCTTGGTGGTGGTGTCTGTAGATGGAGGTGGAAGAGAGAAAGCATGGCAAAAGTCTCTCCCTTTTATCATGTTCTTTCTTCCCTCTTAGCTTTGCCCCACCCTCCAGCTTCAGAGTCAGGTGAGCATTACCTCATTGTAGTGCCGAACTGACCAGCAGATCCTTTGTTGCTGCCTAGGCCATTGTCCTTTGTTTCTGTGAAGCTGGGCTGGGTTTGTCCCACACATGCCCTGATGAGGTGTGAGCTGCTCCTCTGCTCCTGGGGAGATTTTGCTTGGGCTTGTTTTAAGCCATGAGGACACATTTTCAGCCTCATAACTATATACATGAAATTACAACCTATAACATTACTATAACAATGCTCAGTGTACCATGAGCCGTCCGAAGACACCCAACATGGCAAACTTTGCACTGGATACCACACGATCATATTATAAGGACGAACATGGAGGTGCAGGGTGCTCTTCCGAGGTACAGAGTGTCACAGGATGAAGGTGTGACTTGATCACAGACTATAAGTACCTAGATGGGGAACAGAAATTTTATTATAAAAGGGTCTTCAATCTAACAGACAGAGGTATAATAAGAGCCAGTGGCTGGAAGTTGAAGCAAGAGAAATTGACTTGAAATAAGGCACAGATTTTTAAATGAGTGTAATTAACCACTGGAACAATTTACCAAGGGTTGTGGTGGATTCTCCATCACTGGCAATTATAAAATCTAGATATGCTCTACTTCAAACAGGAATTAATTCAGGGAAATCCTATGGCCTGTGTTGTACAGGAACAGGAAGTCAGACTAGATTATCATGATAGCGTCTTGGGACCTTAACTATGAAAATGAGTGTATATTTAAACTGAGGCTCCAAGGTAGGTCCAGGACTGTCATTACAATACTACCAATACTAAATAATAAAATACTGTTCTTTCTTATCCATTGTTCTTTCCAGCGTACTGTTATGCACTCTATTATGACCTAAATTTAGATTAAGTTCTCTAAGATGGGGGCATTTGTTTATGAGAAGGAGCCAGCATGTTTTTGGGTTCTTTAAAATATTAAATATTACCAATAATTAAGATGTGCCATGATTACCCGAAGAACTTATTTATGTCCTATCGCCTAGAGTTATTTCCTTCCTAAATGTGAGTGCATATTTAAAAAAAAAAATATTGCACTTTCTTATGCAATAGCTGACTTTTTTACAGCATCTTGACAATGCACAGTGTGTATCTTGAGAGCAGAATGAGTTGAAGAGCTCTGATTAGCAAACCTATTAGTACTTGTAGTTCAATCCCATCAAGAGATTAACATATGTAGAATCTTTATTAAGAAGTCTTTTTGGAAATAAATGCAGTGAGAATATCCTGGAGGATGGTGGTGTATGGTATTCAGAGTTGTTGTTTGTATGGCAATACTACAGCATTGTGCCTTAGAGAATCATGAATTTTACAGCCTTCACTACTCCAGTTAAGCTTGAAAGAAGACAGAATGGAGAAGACTTGGTGCTGGAGTGGGGCATGATTTTCCATGTTTCATTGCAAATTCTAAGTTATAGAATGATGCTGCAACTCATGTAAATTGCATGAAATCTGTGTTCTGTTGTCCAGTTCATCTTGGGCTGAGTTCAAGATGTGATATGTAATATAGTTTTAAATGTCACAAGTTGCATAAAATGAATCTGACTGAAAAATTGCTTACTTGAATTATCTACCAATAATATATTTACAGTGTAGGTTTACTTACCTCTTGATCAATGCACTTGTGAGATGCTTTGTGGCATAAACCATGCTAATGTGTCATTGTGAAAGAGAGCTGATCAGAGATGTCTGTAGCCAGCATCACAAAAGACAGTGGTGTACCTGGTTCAGAACTCCTATCATTATAAATTTATCATTAGTTCTTTGGATTTTTTTTAATTCTTGGTTCCATGTTCTTAAAGAATAGACCTAAGGGATAATGCTTTACTTTCTTGGGCAGGAGGGGAGGGATGGTTCTTTCACCTGTCAGTCCAATTCATCCCTCCATCAGTTTGATTGACAAGCACCCTATAAGCTATCATATTGTCTAGCATTGTCAGACTGAGCCCTTGAGGCAATCCAGAACGCAGCAGCAGCATGGCAGGGTATGTTCTCTATCACCTGGGATCAGTTCCTCGTCTCGGAGACAGATATCATCTTGGTCATCTGATCACTGCTTTCTAAGACTCTCCTCTTATGGGTTGCACATTAACTTTCTAAGGTCTCGCTTTCTTTCAGTCGGTCCCCAGGCTCACTGCTCTGGCTTGGTATTGAGTGCTTCATCCCTAGACCTGTACTCTCATAGTTCCTCTTCCTGGCAGCCTTGGTCCCTTCTTTGGAGGCCCACAGAAAGCTTGTCCTACATAGAGCATTTGACTCTATGGCTTTCAGCCTTACAGTGTTTGCTTAGAAATACATTCCTCTTCTCCTTTCCTCTAGATGTCTTCCCTTTTTTTTAACATATTCTTCTCTAGCCAGTGCATTTTGTTTCTCCACTTTTAATCTCTTGTTGTTTTAGAGTTATAATTCACACATTGAGTGAGGTTAGAAAAGATGTTTGTGTATTTTTTTTTCTTTCAGTTCTTCGAACAAGTATATAGAATAAATAGATCCCTTATTTTGTAATGTGATTGTCTTTGTTCTACACAGGTGCTTGAACTGGTGCTGGAAAATTTTGTTTATCCATGGTACAGGTATGAGTTTTCCACAAATTACTTTTTCTTCTAATAATAACCCCTCATTCAAAGCAGTATAGTGGAAACAGTCCTTTACAAAATACATATTCAGTTTTTGTGTTAAAAATAATAAAATACAAAGACTTTTTTTTTACTTTCTCAATATAAGTGTTATCACCTTAGTTTGTTTTATATCTTATTAGTTAAGTAGAGTGGATCAATTTGTTCTAAATTTTTAAAATATTACAAAGATTTTTTTGAAATTTGTATTGAAACTATAAAAACACTGTATCTTAGTGAGGCTTTCCTGGAAAAAGACACATTTTTGATGCAACCATAAGAGGTTCAAAAACTGTAAGAACTTTAAAAATCTTCTTTTATGAGTTATGATTCTAAACGAAAAGTATTCCTCTGACCCGGTATTTCATGTAGTGTCTTAATCTAAAAATAAACGTTTTTATCCTTTTTTTTTTTAAAAAAAAGGAAAATACATTCAAAATATGAGCTAAGGCTTTGACCCTGCAAAGATTCTACACATGCTTAATTTTAAGACTGTGAATAGTTCTGTTAAACTCAAATGAGACTATTCACATACTTAAAGTTAAGCATGAGTGTGAATAAGTCTTTGCAAGACTGGGGCCTATATGGGTTTCTTGTGTTTTGTTTTTTTAACTTAAAGGCATATTACTCTAAGCACTTTGAAGGAAAATAACTTAAATATTTCAATTCTTGGTGCATATTAATGCCATGATGTAAGATTATTTTAATTTCTAAAACAAAACACTGGATTTACCTAATTCAACTCTGAATTTGACTTTCCCCTTCTTAAAGGTGATGTTCATTAAAAGAATCAGTCAGCTACTCACATCTTTTATTTTACGATGTCTGTCTTACCCACTGGAAGTTCAGAATTTTTTTACAGGGTGTTCTATTTATCTCATTTATTTTTAAATATGACTGAAGTCTGCATGTCTCTGTTTAGTTATGCCTTTGCTTTGGGTGTGTCAATATTGGTTTGAATATACTGAACAAAGCTATACACTTATCTGCAGGACAACAGAGGGAGCCCAAACACTATGGTGTACATCACCAAATGGATAATCTTTGGGTGTTTAGTAGCTGAGTAAACTTTCAAGTATATGAAATCCAGAGGACATTTTGCAGAGCTCCTTTTAAATAAAATAAAATTTAAGGAGGCCATATAGGTGGCTGTCTTTAATATTTTATAATTTAAAATCGGTGGAGAATCTATGGGCACTGTATCTTTTATGTTACGTCAGACTGACAGAGAGAACTTAGATTGAAGATATTACATTTAAGAATCACAGGTTCCAAAAAAAAGGTTCTTATGTGATCATGTTGTGCTTAGCACAGTGGGGTCCTGGTCATAACTGGGTCCTCTGAACACCTTAGCATTGTGATAATAAAAAGAAGTGAATTAGCACTTCGAGGTGGGGGAAAATTTCTGAAGTTATGGTTTATTGCTTAAAATCGTGGGGCAATATACAAAATTGGAGAATTATTTTTACTTAAGGGCAAATCTTCTTAGCATGTTTGACTGTCTTTAGGGCAGAATTTGTCTAATGTTCTAGGATTTTTTTCTCTTCCCGTTCCAGTCTTTCATCCCTTCTCTCGGTTTGCATCTTTGGGGAAATCCATTTGTCCCAAACAGGAAAATGAGGCCCTCAGCAGACACAGCTTTGTAGGAAGGGGCAGATTTCAATGATGGGACAGGTTTGGTATCTCTTTCTGTCCCAGGCTAGAGCAGCTGGACCAGAGTTTAGGGTGGGAAAGGACTCTGGGATGATATCTTCCTGTCAAGGGAAAGGAGCACAGACTTCCTTGACACCAGCTAGACCCTTTTAGGCAGGAAAAATGGGAACTGGGCGCATGAGGATTTTTCCTTTGCCTCACCAGCTGATGCCATCTTCTACCATCATGCATATTTTGTATGTTAGAGCTCTAACATGCTTTTCCCTACGTGGGAGGGCAATAGGATGATCTACTTTTGGTCAATTTTTAACAAATGAGAATTCCAAGAAATGCTGTACTACAGGTAACATGCATATTGTATTATAATTAGAGCTAGCCAAAAACTTTCTGGTGGGAAAACTTTTGTCAGAAAATGTTGATTCCACACAATCAAAATCTTGTCTCGGAATGTACCAATTTCATCTAATTTTTTACAGGAAATTATCAGAACTACACTATAATATATAAAAGTAGAAACATTTTGACCTTATCAAAACAAAACATTTTGAAATTTCAGAATTTGTCATTGGATAGAAATGCAAAATTTCAACCAGCTCTTCTGATAATATTGAACAGTTACTGCATTTTTCTTGCAAACATTAATTTAGGCTCACTCTGTCTCACCTAACTGGGTAACTATCTTTTTTTTAACATACGGGGAAAGTGAATTAGAGGTTGTTGTTTGCTCAAAATTATTCAGTTAGTTAGTATTAGAACAGGAATTAGAACATAATTCCTGGCTGTTAGTCTTATGCTCTGACCATGCCTCTCAAGTCACAGCTAATTAGAAGTGCAAATATATCTACTATATTGGGGTGTCTGTATGTTTCTATGCTTGAATAGAGGACCAGTCACCAGCTGGCCTTGCCCACTTTTTGTGCTTTCATTTAGAGTGGAGATAATTCTTACGCTTTCAAGTGCCACCTTTTAATGGTTTTATTCTTTCTTTTGTAAGTGTCAAATGTAACATGGATGGGTTAAAGTTCAAACTAAATATTTTCCTTGGTTTACTTTGTTTTAAAACTTCGCAGGGATGTAACTGATGATGAGTCCTTCGTTGATGAGCTGAGAGTAACATTGAGGTTTTTTGCATCTGTATTAATTCGCAGAATTCACAAGGTAAAAATTGCATGGAGAGAGAACATGATTTTATATGTAAGAAATGGTATCTAATGCCAAAGTAAATCTTCTTTCTTTTAATTATGTTACCAAAAGAAACATATTGTACTTTCTATATAGAATTACATTTGACAGTTTCTTCCTCTTTATGCCAGTTTCCTTCCTCTGAAACTTATCTCCCATGGTACTCTTGGCCACAGCCCAATCCTATAGAATCCTGCAAATTAAAGTCTTTGTTCCTGCTGTTTTAGTAATGCTTTGTGTTGGCACAAGACTATCTTCTGTGTTGCATTGGCTGTTTCTAAGGTGATTCATTTGAAGGGAGTAGAGAGAAGTACTAGATATTGGGGAGCTGTAGTTCTTGTAGCTACCACCTGGTTCTCCATCTGTGCTTCGGTTCTTTGAAGATACTTTTATACTTGTTAAGAGGATAACTGCTTCAAATAGCTCACTCTGAGAATCCCAGTAGGTGTGACTTGTGTGGAGAAGGGACTATGCTAACTTGGAGTCATTTGATATGTTATAAGTGTTAAGTAAAATTGTGTGATGGGGGTATGTTGCTGGACAAAGACCAACGAACACATACTGTATGTAGGTGCACAGAAACACAGAGGCTTGGACTTCTGTATGGAAGCTCCACCTAAACTGCTTATTCAGAACTTTTTTTTTTTAAAATTTGAATGATCATCAGTTGGCTTCTGTGATCCTGCTCCCTCTCTTCAGAGCAGGTGGGAGAGCTGGTCTGCAATCAGGAAGGGAAATATTGCCAGGATTTTATAAGATCAGATTTTCCTTGTAATAAGAATAAGAAGTGGAGGTATTACCAGACATGATTGTTCTGTTTTTTGTATTTAACCACAGTAAACATTTAGTGGATTGTTTTAAAAGAACAGATTTTGGAGTTGGAATACATTAGTGGGGTTTTGAAGAGATCTGCAGGGCTCTTGAAATAGAAATATAAAAAGCATCCAGCATTGCCCGATGTTCACAGGCAAGTGTCCTGAGAGGAAGATTATAGGGGTAAAAGGGCTGTACTAATGACTCAGACATCAGTTTCGAACAAGATGTTTATCCAGGAAGGGGCATGTCATGGCAACTTGTACGTGAATTTAGTTCCTGTAAAAAGTTTGGACTGACCACCCTCTGTCCTTTAAATAGGTACAGTATATGCAAAGGAAACTTTCTGTTGCTCTGTGGCAATGTGTCTCAGTTCCTGCAAAATGCACTTATCTCTAAGTACCTCTATTCTGCCTACAACAATCAGGAGTGAGAAGCAAGCTCAGTTTCCGTGCCCATTCAGTGCTGGCCCCTCTGCTGACACAGCTACCTAAGGGTGTAATTCCACCTCAATAACAACTATTAATACATTTTATTTCCTGAGCTACAAGATATACCACACATGCTGCAGTAGCTGATGAACAACCTGACACAATCCTAGCTGAATGTCAGATCTGGATGTCTTGCTTGTTAACATGCTTGTGGTACTACAGATGGTTTAAAAGTTATGGTGGGGAAAGCATAAAGGTTTATAAGTGAAGCAGATGTTTCAAAATGGAAATGTAGCATAAGTCTTTAAATTTACTTTAGAATTTTAATTCATGTAACTTGAGCATACTTGGGAGTTATTAGTTGACTTTTTGATCCATTGCTATCATACATGAAAAGATTAAATATGACAGTGATAATACCTTATTATACAGGTAGCTGAAGGAAATGGTTACGTGTGAACTGAAATAATCTAGCATAAACATCTTTTAAACGTATCCTTTGTGAATTAGAATAATAAAGATCACCCAAATTCTCCACCTTTCTTGTCAAGAACAAAAGATTTATAATAACTTCAGTCAGGCTTGGCTGAGAGCAAAAAGATATTTGATCTTTTGTGGCAGTTAAGCTGTGTTAAGTGTTAGATGCTGTGTGGAGAATTGCAGAAGCTTAGCCTATGTCTACACTAGCACTTTTGTCCATGAAATCTTTGTCAGCTGGGGTCTGAAAAAAACACCCCCCTCACCCCCCCCGCCCAACATAAGTTTCACTGATAGAAGCGCTGGTTTGGACAGTGCTACATCAGCAGGAAGCTACTGCCACTTGTTAGGGGTGGTTTAATTATGCCAATGGGAGAGCTCTCTCCTGTTGGCAGAGTGGCTACACAGGAGACCTTACAGTGGCACAGCTGCAGCAGTACAGCTGTGCTGCTGTAAGGTCTTTAGTGTAGACATAGCTTTAGTAGGTACAGGAGTTTAATCAAAACACATTCCCCTTTATACATTATTAGTTCATAAATTTTGTATTAAGGTTGTATCTGATGTAGTATCATTAAACTTATTTTCTGTGTTTTTTTGCGCAAAGTTGCGCGAATATCTCTAAATAACACACAATTAGATGTCATCGTGATAGCTTGAGCTGTATGAATTCTGCAGGGGAGGTGGAGTCTGTGTGCGTGAGTGAGATGACAGAATAATAGGCCTTGGAGCTCACAAAAGTGTAATTCAGAGTGACAGGGTGAGTGAAGTAATATGTTTTATTGGACCAACTTCTGCTGGTGAGAGAGACATGCTTTTGAGTCACGCACAGCTCTTCTTCAGGTCTGTGGAAAGTACTTGCAGCATCACTGCAAAACGCAAGGTGGAAGAGGTGGTTTAGTTAGCACATATTGTAAGGGACCGTTCAAGGTAGAATGACCCGTTAAAATCTCTGCAGTCGTAGGGTAAAAAGAGCCATAAAAGTTCCTGAAATCTAACCATCAGATACTGATCAAACCAGCAGACAAGAGGCACCACTGTAGTCCTCAACTGTGATGACAGTTAACGAGGCTAACCAACAGCACTCTGACACCACCTACTATAAAGAACTCAAAGATGACCCCAGACCACAATTTATCCAGGAATTTAAGGATGATATCCAATCCTTCCTCAAACAACTCAGAGAAACTTTACAAACTCCGCCCCCATGAAACCACCCCAGTGCCCTTCTACATGCTTCCCAAGATACACAAAAAAAGGAACCAAGGCAGACCCATCATATATGACCACGGCACTGTTACTGAAAGTATATCGAGACTCTTAGAAACCACCCTCAAACCACACAAAGGGCCAGCTTTCTCCAGGACACAACTGATTTTTCTCCATAAACTGCAATATTAACAACCTTCCTCAGAACACTGTCCTCACCACTGTGGATGTCATTTCTTATACACCAACATCCCTCACAATGACGCATAGCTGCCTGCCTCAAATACTTGCAAGACAATGGACAACCCTGAGATATTCACTCCAAACACTTCACCAAATTCATCCATTTCATTCTCACCCATAACAGTTTTACGTTCAGCAACAAACATTTTGTCAAAACTATGGGAACAGCCATGAGTACTAGGGTGGCTCCTCAATATGCCAAACTCATCATGGGCCAATTTGAAGAATTTCTGAACAAATACCTGAGATACGTTGATGATATTTTCATCCTCTGGACAGATAGCTTAAACTCACTCATAGATTTCCATCACAACTTCAACAACCATCACCTGTCCATTGAAGGCTCTCTGGAACACTCCTACACGAGCATCAACTTTCTGAACATAACAGTCAGTTTCAGCAATAAAACCCTACAGACAACCATATCCAAGAAACCCATGGATCACCATGCCTACCTTCATAGATCCAGTAACCAACCCAAACAGCAAGAAAACTTTATCTACAGCCAGGCACTCAGAGACCACAGAATATGCTCCAAGGGGAAAGTCCAGGATATACACCTTAACACATTTAAAACTGCCTACACCAATCAAGGACACTCCACCAGAGAAGTAGATTGCATCATAGAACAGTCCACTGAAATGCCAAAAGAGAACCAGCTTCAACACAGAAATAAAACCCCCTCTGACCATTCACCCCTAGCCGTCACATACCATCCCACACTGGAACCCATGAGGGATACCATCAAACTACTACAACCCATACTCAATGGGGACCCTATCCTGACAGAAATTTTTCCTGAACCCCCTCTGTTGGCCTTCAAACAACCCCTCAACTTCTCTAAGCTAATCAACAAAAGCAAGCTCCATACAGACCAGGACACACCAACTCAAAGCGGCACCAGACCCTGCCAGAACATTGGATGCGAAATCTACAGACATATATCCTCTGCTACAGTGATCAACATCCCCAACACACCTTTCAGGATCCATGCCTATCACAACGTGTAATGTACCTCATCCAATGCACTAAATGCCCCAATAACAACTATGTGAGTGAAACCAGATACAGTAATCGCTATGCTTTTGAGTAAACTCCTTTAGGAAAATGATAAAGTACAAAAATACCCTCTCACATGTGGATGAACACTTTTCACAAAGCGATCACTCAATATCTGACATCTCAGTCCTCATCCTAAAAGAAAACCTGCATAACACTTTCAAAAGATGAGCCTGGGAGCTTAAATTCATTACTATGCTAGACACTAAAAATCATGGACTAAACAGAGACACTGGATTTATGGTTTATTAGAACAATCTGTAACCCACTAACCTGCTCTTTGTACTATGACTGTAGAGGTGTTAATGGGACACTCTACGTTAAATGGTGCATTACAATATATGTTATCTACTTATGCTAAACAATCTGTTCACCTTGCATTTTGCTGGGGGTACCTTTCCCAAACCTGAAGAAGAGCTCTGTGTGGCTTGAGAGCTTGTGTCTCTCACCAACAGTTGGTCCAATAAAACGTATTACCTCACTCACCTTATCTCTCTAATCTCCTGGGACTGACAGGGCTACAACTACACTGCATGTAATTCAGAGTGTGAAAATTTACATATATGGAAGTGGACAGACTGGAGTGGTGGTTTTGTGATGTGCAGATCACTGAATGTACTGGGTTTAGAAACTGACTTGGTAAGCAACTTACAAAGAAAATTGTCAAATTCCTTCCTCTGTAACAATCTACTTTTAATGCCTCAATAGTCAGGTGAAAATGATCTGTGACATAGAACTCATTTTCTT